GAAATCTGCAAAGCTTTAGAAATCACAGCAGACCTCTTGTAGCTTCTTTTTCTCCACATACAGATGCCCAGACAGGCAAAAATTTGCTCCCAAGTGCATTCTTAACTAGTTTTGTTGAATTTAGCTATTGTCAGTGCAGAATAGTGTTAAAAATATGATCTCAGTTCAAGTTTACCATGTGTTGAAAAATGTTATATTAGGAGGAATCTGTCACACATTTGGAAGGAGAGCTATTAGTCACTTTGCAATGAGCACCCTTGAATTTTGAGTGTGATTTCGATATATTTCACATTATATGAGCTAAACTATAAATAGAAAATAGCAAAACATAAATGTCTTAAGAGTTTTACAATTCTTAAGGGCTGTTTTATGTGCCATGGGTAGGGATAATGATGCTGTTTAATGAAGTAATTTTATAACCTTGGGAAGACAGAGCCTCATGCCTCCTGTCATCTGTCACACACCATCTCCCTGGCACTGGGCCTCAAAGTCACATGGACCCACTGTCTTCGTGGAGTCCTTGCTGATGGGAGATCATCCGGGTAAAACCACCTTATCACTCAAGGTCATTTTCTTTCCAGAAGCTCAGACTTGAGAATTAGTGTCAGCCCTCCATATTCACAGGTTTTGCTTTCTCAGATTCAACCAACTGCAGATTGAATTTTGCAGACTGACTGAATCTGCAGATATGGAACCATGGATGTGCAGGGCCGACTGAACTACAAATAAGAAACCTGTGGATCTGGGTACCCACGGGCTCCAAGAAACAACCCCCATGAATGACTGTACTATCATCAAGGTCAAAGCAGTTATAATCCACTCTTTTACCTTGAAGTCCATGGCCATCCCAGGAAGAGGATGCTACCTCAAATATGTTCTACACTATTTTTTCCAGATCTATTATATATAATTTGTCACCACTAGATGCTTTGTGGAAGCATCTTTATAAGAAAAGAGATGCCAAATTCATTCAATCAAGGCACATGGACCAAGTACAAGATCAAGGTGAAATTATTTTGTCTTCAATTCATTTTCAAGTCAGAGCTGTTAGAAAATAGTGTTTAAAAAAAGTTAATGTTGGAAGTTTCCTAAGTACAGATGAAAAAGAAAAATTTCCTGATTTCGAACATCCTGCAGTTATTGGGCTATTTTATAAACGTGGTCTTCGGAAAAGCATCTCAATCCAGCGGTGTCCCAAAGAAAGCCTCTCTACAGATTTCTCACTCTTCCTTCTGTGTTTCTGCAGCTGTACATCAATAGATGTAAAATTTCACTTGAGAGTTTCATGCAAGAAACCCTCAGATTTATTTGCTCTTTAGTAATATGAAATTGCAAAAGAAATTGGTTTGGCACTTAATAAGATCCTAACTCTAAAAGTTAGACTCTTGGGGGCTAAAGTTTCTTTACCAATAGTTGCACAGATTAAATATATCTAAAATAGCACCACAGTATAGGTGTGACAATGGACTATAATCTTGTGCTTTGGTAATTGTTTCTGGCATTCTTAAAATTTTCTTTGACATGGTGCTCACATTTATTTTTTCAAAATAAAATCTACCAAGAATGTTCTCTTCTTTCTTCCCCTGTTGCTTCATAATTGTGCTAATATACTAGCTGGGGCAGTTATATTTTAAATGACATGTATATATTTAGCAGCATAATTATGCAAATTTTACCATGTTGATTGTAAATTTCCTTTCAGAGCAGCTACTTAGCATTTTGTCCTGGTAGAAATGCTTAGAATTCACTCCCGAATTCACTTCTCTGTTGGGTGAAGGTGGGGCTTACAGTTCTTCACTTACCAGGCAGAATACTGCCTAGTGGTAAAAGGTATGGATTCTTTAACACACCTGGACATTCTATGCCACTTACTGGCTTTGTGACCTTGGGCAAGTTTCTTAACCTCTCTGAGCTCAGTTTCCGCATCTGTAAAATAGGGATGACAATGGTATGAACCTTGCTGGGTTGTCATGATGATTACATCATATGATGTATGGAAACTACTTAACCTCGCATTTGGCCAATAAAAGATTCTTAATAAATGATAGCTACCATCAGTGTTCTTATATTATCCCCCAGCAGTACTACATTTCAGCTTAGTTATTAAGCTTTCCAAAAGAGTTTAAAACTGCCGTTGAAGAAGAGACCTGTCTAATTAACAGTGGGGTGCTGGGTGGGAGTGCTAACAGCAAAATGTCCAGACTCAATTCTTTTTTACCAAAGAAGTCATTCTTTACATACTTTTTGTCATGTGCCTGGGTTGAGTTAGTGGGGATGTTTAGGTGTTTCACTAATAGCAACTCTAAATGTACAGAGAGGAGAGAGTGTGTGTGTGTCTAGGGTTATAGGAGAAGGGAGTCTAGCCTACCCACATATATACAAGTACGCCTACCCACATATATACAAGCACGCCAACCTTCTGGTTCCACCCACTGGAGATAAGCTGATTAACAGGTGAGGAATCATGTAGGCAAAATGTGAGATAATATTCCTTCTCTGCTATTTCACATTTACAAGAATGAAAAAAATTGAAAAATGTAAATCTGTATTCTAAAACTACAACTATATGTCAGAATATGGAAATGACCACGACAGTATATTTTAAGTGAACATTAATCTTATTTTAGAAAATTAATCAAATTTTCTAATACTTGTTATTTTAGAAAAATGCTAATCTGGATTTTCTAAAAGTAGCTGCTGACATGTATGTCAGACAGAAATCCATAGCATTTTCTGAGCTTCAGTAAAACAAACCTCTGAGGAAACATAGGACCTGAAAATATACTGATGCTGTGTGTGCACTAACTCACTTTAGTCATGTCCAACTCTTTGCGACCCTATAGGTTGTAGCTCGCCAGGTTCCTCTGTCCATGGGATTCTCCAGGCAAGAACACTGGAGTGGGTTGCCATGCCCCCCCTCCAGGGGATCTTCCCAACCCCGGGATTGAACCCCAGTTTCTTATGTCTCCTGCATTGGGAGGCAGGTTCCTTACCACTAGCACCACCTGGGAAGCCCCATACTGATGCTACTTAAGGCTAAAATTCTTCAAGACTGATCGGGGGCAGCAAAGAGGCAATTCCACATAGCAGAGGGTCCTTCATGTTGGTCCCACCCATAACCCAATCCTGGGAACTGGGTTCAATGATGTCCAGTTATATACACGTGGTAACTGCATGCATGATAATGAACCATGTGCTGAGCGAGAAGCCAGACACCATCACTGTCCAAAGTGCGCCTGGAAATCAGCAGAGTGTGGATGGTTTAATGAGATACATGGTGGAATCAAGCTCACAGTCCTCTCCTACCCTCAAGGTGGGTCAGCAGGGGGGGTGGGGGGATGGGAGCAGGATGGGTTCTAGCTCAGGAGATGAATAGGTTTTGTCTACTGGAAGAAATTCTTATAACTCCAAGTCTCATCCTATCAGGGACACACACTTCCCAACCAGCCCCTCACAGCCCACCAAGGGGGATGAATTGTCCTTTCTTAGATGTACAAGGTGCAGGCTCCCTTAAGGCCCATCTTGGAAGAGTCCCCTCTAGTTGTGACACTGGTCTGTCCAAAGAGGCTCAGTATTTACCCCACACCTCTCAGTATTTATCCCACACACCTTTCTATGGTCACAGGAGGTGTGACCATAGGAGGTTTCCTTTGATTCTTAGAATTTAACTTCCTAAGGACTTTGGAAGAGAGAAAATGAATATCTTTTTCTGACTCTTAATTTTTCTTTGTCCTGAATAATAACGTCAGTCACTGTTTTTGTTTTTTTTTCCCAATTGTGTGAGAAGGTTAGAGCTTTAAAAGAAACACAAAACTTATGTTTATTCTCTTTCCATCTTCCTGGAATCTTTCTTCTGTGACCAGATTAGAGAGGGCCCTTTCAGGATAAAAATCTGCCAAATAGGACAGAACTTTCTGATTTGTGTGATTAAGATAGTAAGATAGACATTTCACATTCCAGTCACAATTTTGGCCTTCTCTTTTACAAGGTTATGTAATAGTAAGTGATATGATCATTTTTGGTGAGGAGGAGGAAAGAGAGGTTCCAATAAGATACTGAATGGCTGAATATCTGAATTGTAAATTCTCACTCCCCTCTGAATTCCTGTATGACAACAGGTTGCATGCTTAATCTCCTTTGAACTCTATTTCTTTGCCTAGATTTTTATGACTATAATTAATATATTTATTGCCTTCCATCAACAAATCCAGGCTAGAGAAATTCTCTGTCAAAATCGACTTTTCTATAACTCTATCAATTTGAGGGTTTTCAAGATGTAGTATGGAGGTTCTAGGCTACTGAATTACAAAAACATGTAAATTTAAAAAGAAATGTAAATACCCAGAGTATCTTATCCACAAGAAAAACTTTGCTGATCTCAGTGCCACTCCCAAATAAGTATTACACCGACACCATCCTAATTTTATGCAGATTTGTTTTTATCACCCTGGATGACAGATAGTGACACATTCTTTTCATTTCCCCAAACCACATGAGAAAACAAAATTGCACTTCAAGAAAAAAAAAAAACAAAACACAAACTGCCAACTTAAACAGTGGGCACTTGAACCACTCACTCCACCTTTTCAGTGGGAGATCAATAACGATCAGCTCTTGACTGGTTTCTCTGAATGGTTTCTTCTAATCTGCTAACCAATTTTCTTCTGAATTATTCAGATATACACTAATGATGCTGCTGTTAGACCCACACGCGGGAGGCCCATTCTGACCTCTCTTGTTGGGGTGGCCTGCCTGCCTGTCTTTAGCCAGGCCACTGGCCAATGCCACTCAACCACCAGGTTTAGAAACTCTTTGCAGACAAGAACCACCTCTGATCCTACTTCCCCACACCCCCACGCCCTCCACCCAGCACAGGACCCAGAGGGCACACTGCTCAAAGCTGGCACCCAGCTAACTCCTGCTCTCTCCTGCCGACTCCTGCAGAGCAGCCCCAAACCACCAGGGCACGGAGCAGCCTCCCGCCACCCTCCCCGCCTTACCTGGTCTCTCGGTCTTTGGGTATGGTAGCCGTGCTGTAAGCGAACACCTGCTTCTCAACTAGAGGAGGGCCCAGGTCCACAATCCCGGATAATCCTGGAGTGCTCCGTGGCTTCTCAATGTACACCAAAGTGCCGGGCTCCTTCTTGAAGCCCTGGCGGCTAGGTGAGGCCCGGTCTGGCTGCAACGTGTGGGGGGGCCCGTGGGCGTTATGATGACCGTGCATCTCCACCATCCTCAGGTCGCCGACTCGGTGAGGGGAGGCTGGGGGCGTCTTGGAGCCCAGAGTGGGCAAGTGGCTCTCTGGGTATTTCCTTGGCTTCTGTCTGTACAGTGACTGCTCCATGTGCATTTCCGCTTGCAGAGATGGGTTGCAGTAAGCACTGGCTGACCGAATTGCGGTGCGGTGATACGCGATGATGTGATCGGGGACATCCAGTGGGTGCCCGCCATGCGAAGACGCTATGCTCATCCGCCCCTCGTGATAAAGGTAAGGGTCGGCATAGAAACCCTCGTTCCGGTACATGGCGAGGTTCTTGCTGCTCATGTCTTCATCTGGCTTCACATCTCTTCTTTCCAGGATGGCGCTGGGGCTGGGGGAGATGGATCTGGAGACTGGCAGGCTGGAGAGTCTGTCCCTGGGGATGGTGGCATTACCAGGAACCACCATTGGGCGGGAGCCTCCGTACGGAATTCTGGATGGAGAGGGAGGCATGGAATGGGGCACAGGAGTGGATGGCGGAGAGTTTGGAATGGCGTAGGGTGGGAGAGCTGTGGGTCCAGGTCGAGAGGCACCAGGGCCATCTCCTCTTGCATAAACAACTTCTCTCTGCATCTAGAAAGAAAGAAAGAAGTTAGAAAATCTACTTTGATATTCATGTGTTTAGAGACGTCTCAGTGTGGCTTCCCTGATGAAATCAGCTGAAGAGTGGCTCCTGCAAGATGTCTGTGCCCCAATCCTTATATCCTGTACCCATGTTCCCTTACATGGCAAAAAGGACTTCACAGATACCCCATTAAGGATGTTGAGAGGGAGAGATTATCCAGGTGGACCCAATGAAATCACAAGGATCCTTATCTGTGAAACAGGCAGGAGGGTCAATGTCATGGAAGGGGATGTGATGACTGAAGCAGAAAAGCAAGATGGAAAGATGCTGTCACCGAGTCCAAGCTCAAACTGCTCTCTGCATGACAGGCCAATAATCAAAAGGCGAGCTGTTGGGGCAATCGATAGAGACTTTATTCAGAAAGTCAACACATTGAGAAGATGGTGGACTCATGCCCCAAAGAACCATCTTGCCTGAGTCAGAATTCAGGCTTTTTTTTTTTTTTTTTACAGTAAAAGGGGTGGGAGTAAAGTCAGACACTTCCAGGTCCCCGTCTGCCTCCAGAGGGGAGGTGTTAATTTCTTCTTCTCTGTGGTCATTCTCTATTCCCAAGAACCTATTTCTAATAGGGAATTCTATTAGAATCCCCCACTATCACTGTCTGTTTCACAGTCCTGTGGGAAAAGGGACCAAGACCCCTTTGGCTGGTTACTTTCTGCTGAACGGAGGTGATGAATATTCCGTAGTCAGTCCTTTACAGCTACCTGAACCCAATGAAACCTCTGAGCATTATGTTGTCTACTTTGTAATTGAACTTAGGGCTTTGGTTCCAGTTTTCAATACATATACTAAATTCCTGTGCTATTTATTTGGACAAAATTAAACAAATCGGTTGACCCTTTAATAGCTACAAGGGAATTATCATCTACTTCAGTTGCATAGGTGTGCCTGTTGGAGGCAAACTCGTGAACAGAGGTTAGTATAGTGCCCAAAGTTTTAATATAGTTGGCCACTGCTACATGTTTTAGCATTTATGGACTCCCCTGCGGTGGCAGACAGCTGGAATGGCCTACCACACAATAGTTAAAAGGGGCCTAATTTAAGCCTGCTTCCGGGAGTTACTGATCTGCAGCAGGGCAACTGGCAAGGCCTTATTCCAAGTTCAGTTAGTCTCCTGACATTTTAGCAACTTTCCTTTTTAATGTGTGATTCATTTTCTTCTTTTCCTATTGACTGTGGTCTCCAGGATCAATGTTGTTTTAATGCCTTAAGCCCAATCAGGGCATGACTTCCCTATGGATGGCTTTAACCACCTCAGAGATTTTCTGTCCAGGAGGGATATGCTTCTACCCACACTGAGAAAGTGTCCAGGTATCTGAAATTTCTTGCAGTTTGAAGCATCTGAGAAATAGGTATTGAGTATATTTCAGTCCTCGGTGGTGCAGCTTCCTTGGCATTGAGTCCCCATCTGGGGAGGGCTGACAACAGTCGCTGGGTTATTTTTAAGACCTTGGGGGAAAGAACTCAGTCTCCTTTTCTGGGGTTTTCATGAGCACCATCTGTAGGCTTAAAGCATGTTTAGGTGAGACTCCTGATACTGAGCTTTTGTTGTTGTTTAGTGGCTCAGTCATGTCTCACTGTTTTGTGATCCTATGGACTGTAGCCAGCTAGGCTCCCCTGTTCATGGGATTTCCCAGGCCAGAATACTGGAGTGGGTTGTCATTTCCTCCTCCAGGGGATCTTCCTTACTTAGAGATGGAACCTGCGTCTCCTGCATTGGCAGACAGGTTCTTTACCACTGAGCCACCAGAGAAGCCTGGTGATGTCAAGCTATTCTGAAAAAAAAAAAAAAAAAAAAAAATTTTTTTTTTTTCAGGGTGAGGTCTATCAGAAAGTCAATCAGTTTTTTGTTTTTCAGTCGCTAAGTCGTGTTTGGCTCTTTGCGATCCTGTGGACTGCAACACGCCAGGCTCCTCTGTCCGCCACTGTCTCCTAGAGTTCACCTAAATTCATGTCCATTGAGTCTGTGATGCTGTCTAACCATCTCATCCTCTGCTGTCCCCTTTTCCTTTTGCCTTCAATCAGTTCATCCCCCACGTTCAATTTTACCCTGGGCTCCTGTGGGGAATTGGACACGGTAAGTCCAAGGGAGCCCCTGGGCCTCTTTATTCAGAGTGTTCCTCTCTTTCTACCATAGGAGCACCTCTTTTATTCTTCTTCTGTTTCAGCTGAGGGCAACCCATTTTCCAGTGTTTCTCCTCCTTACAGTAAGTCCATCGTTTCTTCCTCAACGGTGGCTTACCTCTCTGAGTTATATTCCAGGAATCCAATGCCAAAAAAAGGGGGAAGTTTGATTTGCATCTTTTGTTCTTGCTCCCTGAACACTTTGTTTTAAAAAAATTTTAATTTATTTATCTTTAAATTGGAGTATAATTGCCTTACAATGTTGCTTTAGCGTATGCAGCACAACAATGTGGATCAGCTTCATGTATACATACATCCCCTCACTTTTGAGCCTCCCTCCCACTCCCCCACACCCCGCTAGGTCATCACAGAACACTGAGCAGCAGCCCTGTGATATACGGCAGCTTCCCACTAGCTCTCTATTTTACAGACAGTAGTGCATGTCAACCCAGCATTTTCTGATTGACGCTTATGAGGAGGAGAAGTCCTCAGCCGCAGCGTCAGGAACTGAGCCTGGATAGGAATGGAAGGTGGTGGAAGGGGTGGCTATATTGGCATAATGGCCAGAGTGGCTGGGACAGCCAGCTCAGCCAGAGGAGTTAAGGTTAAAGCAACATATCCTCCCTTTTATTCCTTTATCTTCCCTGATAATAGCACAAACGCTTGCACGTAAAGGATTTCATCAGCCTTGCCTGCTTTTTCACGAAATAGCTATAGAGGCATTCAGAAGCCACTGTAAAACACATGGGCAGCAACTGATCATCTAACCATTAAAAGGATGCCTTTTGGCTTCGGCATCAACCAACTGGGATTACAAAGCAATTGAAGAGAAAATCGATTACTGCTGTGGCTGTGATAATTACTAAAATTATGACATCATTTACCAGAGTATACCAGAATTTTAGCAGTTCCATACAATTTCTACAATATGTATGTTAATAATGTTTACCCATGATATAATCTAAGAAATTTTTACCATCACTCATTTGACAATGCCTCCCATGCAATTCAACACACCAGATAAACCCAATTAGCTTTTCTGATTAGTAATACAGATTTATTTTTATTAACTTTTATTTTATATTGGAGTATAGCTAATTAACAATGTTCTGATAGTTTCAGGTGGACAGCAAAGGGACTCAAGCATGTGTATACATAGTTTAATATTTCTCTGAGATGCAGAGAAAACAACTGGAAGTGTTCCAGGGATCCTCTGAAAAATCCCAAAGTTAGCCAGAGGTCAAATGAACCCCACTTAGAACTTGATCTTGGAGACGTTAGTCAGAAATATCAAAAAGAAATTCTAAGCAGTGATAATAAAAGATCTGTGGCAAATAGAGATCACTTAAAAGCAGTTCAGTATTTTAAGAAAACTTTGTCCTCTTAGAGAATCAAATCCAGGTTTTGTACCACTTTAAGATTTTTAAAATTACGTTCAATCTTATCTTAGGACTTAAGTTTCAAGTTACGAAAATCTGGAGAGACTGTTCTAGACAGACATTCCCAAGACATTATTCCCATAGAGTTTACCCCAAACTCTTTACTTCATTTACATTTTATTTACTTAAAAGCTTTAGCACATTATTTTTCTTGCTAACAAACTTCGTAAGAGGAATAATAAGGCCGTATTGATTTCCAGTAAACCTATATACAATAAAAGTATTATACATAATGTTGTTTGTTATTATTTAGTTTATTTGGCGGTGCTGGGTCTCAGTTGCACATGGGCCCAGCTGCTCCATGGGATCCCAGTTCCTGGACCAGGGATGGAATCTGTATCCCCTGCATTGCGAGGTGAATCCCCAACCACTGGACCACCAGGGAAGTCCCTATATTCAGTGTTGATGACTCAGAAACATCTGTATCGAGCCAACAAGCTTAAGCTAACTTTCACACCAGATATTAATTCAATACTGAGTATTTCCTAGAGCTCATGAACCTGAAACCCATTCTGGTGAGTTTCTTTTATGTTTGAGTATTCAAACTCACTTACTTTCCTTTAAGTCAATTAATCAGAGCTCTTGTACAAATCTATTATGGCAATGTCGCACATCTAAATTATGTGCAAACACCTGTATAAATACACAGGGACATAGCTCCCATTCCAAAATTTTAGTCATCAGTTAGGTACCACAATGTAAAAGCCATAAGTTATAAAAGAGATTGGATTCTGATTGGGTTTCTGGAAGAGAGGACAAATCAAGGTCATCTGTCTAGATGACTAAACGCTTTTACTAATATTAATGGAAAGGACACTTCTATTTGTAGCTTTCGGTGACATTAGGAATCAAGTGAAACGTTTCTCTCCTCCTTCAGAATGCCCACTTCTGGACAAGAACAGACAGTTTTGCTTTCTTTTCTTCCCTGTTTCTTTCCTCCATTTGATATCAGTCAAGTTTTAAAATAGTGAAGTCAGAAAGAGAAACACCAATACAGTATATTAATGCATATATACGGACTTCAGAAAGACAGGAACAACGATCCTATATGCAAGGCAGCAAAAGAGACACAGATGTAAGGAACAGACTTCTGGACTACATGGGAGAAGGTGAGGGTGGGATGATATGAGAGAACAGAACTGAAACATGTACATTACCATATGTAAAGCAGATGACCAGTGCAAGTTCCATGCATGAAGCAGGGCACTCAAAGCCCGTGCTCTGGGACAACCCAGAGGGATGGGGTGGGGAGGGAAGTGGGGGGGGGGCGGCGTTCAGAATGAGGGGACGCATCTACACCCATGGCTGATTCATTTGATGTACAGCAAAAACCACAATATTGTAAAGTGATTATCCTCCAATTAAATAATTTTTTAAAAAATCAC